TACTACTACTACTACTACTACGTGATACACATGTGTGTATGGGTATATATATATGTGCGCATATATTAGACGAGTGTGTGTGGCACACCGCGCTCACCAAGCTTGCCCCACTGACTGTGATCACCAAGATGAATAACAACAGCATTAAAGGCAAGGACAGTACTAGTACCCCAGAACGGTGGCTGCTGAGAGGGGGCGTGGGTGGTTGGAGGGGGAGGTGAGGGGGTGGGAGGGTGGTGCTGACGCGCACTTGAGGAGGGCATGCTGCGGAGAGGGCAGGGGGGTGGTGACCCTGACCCCCGGATTTGCAGAAGCCCGCTCCATGCCGAACCATGGGCTTCAGGGCTTGAGCAGTAGTTTGGGCGGCTTGGGTGTTAAGGTTTAGGCTTTGGTGAATGCCAAACTTCCAGGAACCCCCACAGCATCACTCTAGGCTGGTGTCAGGCGAGGCGCTCTCCGCTGCGCCCCGGAGCCGCGAGCCCCGGACATCACCTGCGGGGTGCTGAAGCTCTGAGGGTTGCAGATTCAGCTTACAGACTCGGAAAGACAAAAGCTTGGTCCAATACTCGTACTGCTGGATCATCCTCACCAACCTGGTCGTCATTCTCAGTTCTATGACAATCATCACTGTTATGATCGGCCTCATCGTCGTCACTGGCAACACCGTTGTCATACTCGGGATCAAGAAACAAGGCAGCCAGCCCTCGATCTCGAAACCATCTGCCTGACTGCGCCATTGCGGAAGGTCGCCGGCGGAAGCTCCGCAGAGCTGTCTCTCGGATGGTCAGCTGCCCAAGGACGCAGAACGACGCAAACTCCCAGTCTTGCTATCCAGGGGCCTCATGAGGAACGTAGCAGGAGATGGCAAGAGGACTTTGAGGCCCAAGGCTTGGGCTTCAGGTGGAGGCGGATGCCAACCGGACCCTTCGAGCCGATATGCCAAAGCAAACTCGTCTCCATCACTAGCGCTGACACAGCAGCCATACCTATCTATCTATGTATCTATCTATCTGTAAATAGCTTCTTGGCCTGATTCCTCTGTGACGAGATCATACTCAGTCTCGGGTCGCTTCTCTGAGGCCCGAGGCCTCGATTCATCTCAACTTCCAGCGGAGCTGAGGTCAGCCATCACCGCAACCCGAACCAACAGAAATAGCGGTGCTAGGAGCAGCAGGAACAACAACAGCCAACGACAACGGCAACAGCAGCGACTGTCAGCAGTGCCTGAACCGAAGAAAGGCCCTGGACTTGAGGCCAGTGAGCCCGTGTGCTAACACGAGGGGGCCCTTCTCAAAATGTGCTAACAACATGAGCTCTGCAATCACCTATCATCCTTACCTCAGATCCACAGGTCTCTTTCAAAGCCTGAGGATGTCAGGACTTTGACGACTTCCCAACCCTGAACAAAAGTCGTCAGCTAGTTACGCCAATTCTAGGAACGAGCCTACACCTGCTCTCGGTCAACCAAGACCCAAGCCCAAAATAGGGACTGGAAACTCGATCATGCCTTCAAGAACCAGCCGGAGGCATCGAAGTTCTTGTGGTCGGGGATGCTCTTCTCCTCGTGTTAGGTTTTAAAGTGCTTCAAGCGTGAGTTGACCCAGAAAAGAAGGGCCTTCAACTTGTCAAGCGGAGGCCATTTGAGAGGTCAGGGCTCGGGCATTGGATTGGTGAGTTGGTTGTCTCTGTCGCGCGATAAGCAGCAGGATGTCATAACCCGCATCAATGCTACATCAGAATTCACAATCGTAAAACGGGAAGTGTCATGAGCAACAACACTAGTACAGGTCCTTTGCACAAGAACGATAATGCGCACTGATAGCCTGAATGATATACTACTTGTAATCACAGAAGCACATGTAACAAAAAAATGTGACAACCGCAAACACACGACGATGACAAGAGCAACCATAGTAGGAATGATAGTTCATGGAGTGTTCTCCAACCACGCAAATCGCACAAAGCCAAACAGCAGCTCATGAGAGAAACATACACAACATATCTAAAGGCCAGAACATACATGCAGATGTATGAAATTCGACACACAACATGTAACATTGTCGCGAGTAGCAAAGACACCTTATGATAGACTGCAGTGCACGATAGCCTGTAATATCATGCAAGACGGCAAAGACCAAAGCAGACAAAGCAGGATATCAGGCTACGATTGACCTCCGAAAGAACATATAACAGTGCTCCAAGATACATACATACATGCATACATACATACATGCATACATACATAGATACATACATACGTACGTACATACGTACATACGTACATACGTACTTACTTACTTACTTACTTATTTACTTACTTACTTACTTACTTACTTACTTACTTACTTACTTACTTACTTACTTACTTACTTACTTACTTACTTATTCACTTACTTGCTCACTTTCTTACATATATGCATACAGACTTAATTACTTACATGCATATGTTTGTGCATGTTTATCCATATACGTATATGCATGTGTATATGTATATAAAGACAGGTAGATAGCCAACATACAGATGTGTGCGTGTATGTCAAACATCATATTAATGAAAATCATCTGCCTGCCTCGAAATACGTGATGACAGCATTGACCACATTGATGACGACTGCCACGCTCAACTGGGCAAGCATGTAAAAGGCTGTCAGGCAAACCGAGTGGGCCGCAACTTTGGGAAAATCGAAGATGTCGGGTTTAGGATCTGGTGAGGGCTAACTGGGCACTGATGGGCAGAAACCCTTACAATATCACTACAGCTAAGCTCGTGTTGAAGTCGCTTTCCTGTCCACGCTTGTGCAAGTTCAATCCAGAGCTGGCGGCATAAAATGTGTTAGGAAACCTGAAGACCTCGCGATTCTGACCAGCCCCCCTCAGAACGTTTCGCAGGGCAGGATTTGACCCAATAGAAGCCATGTTTCTTGCTATCGAGTATTGGGCGAAGAATTCCGGACCGTTTGGGTACCCAGGAAGGGACGCTCTGAAGACGGCAGGCTCTCCTTGAGTTCGCTGCAGAGGTCCGGAGCGTGTTCAGGGCCCAATCCTGACAGCACATTAGGTTGCATATGCTCCAAAACGTAGCTGATATGCTCCTTCATTCCAGTTCATGCTACGAGTCAGTGCAGCAATAAGCGTTAAGCTGTAGAGGACAACCACGGCTCCGGAGGGCAGCTTGACAGCCTACGAAAACATCTGGAAACAAGAAACTCAGTGGCTTTCTGCGGCCCTGGCTGGCAGGTCAAAGAGGGCAAACTCCACGTCTCAGCACGGTGGTTTTTGCACTGCAGGGTTTGTTTGGGACCTCCTAACGGAGGCTTACACACCAGGGGTGCGAGTCCGGACGTTCGTAATCCTTAAACCATCATAAACAATACTCGTCTATAACTTCCGTAGGAGTGGCAGTGGCAGTGGCAGT